TAGAAAGGCTCCAATACAAAACATACTAACTTTCGTTGTTCTCTTCTTGGTTCGAAGCAGTCTCCCACGAGCCACTCTCATCTCCGTTACTATCAGAGCTTTCTGAGTCCGTGCCCGCCTCGAGCTTCAATTATTAACATTTGGCACACTGCTCCTCGACTCAAAATATTATATACCAGACAGAACTAACCCGCCCTATCGCCTCGAATACTCCATTTTCATCGTCATCGTCGTCATCATCGTCGTCACTCTCATCCTCGTCCTCATCCCCATCATCAAGACCTTCACCCATTGAATCCGTATCTTGAGCGCTTTCTGATCCTTCTTCATCTTCTACCTCATCTATGTCATCTTCTTCAGCATCGCGACGTTTTCCAACCTGAGATTGTTTCGCATAAAGTGAGTATCAATGCAAGAAGTTCTCGAAAGAAGTACCTCATAAGCCCTGACAACGGTTTCTTCATTGTTCAACATGTACTCCACTTCTCCCTCTCCTGTTCGCTCAACCACAGCAACGTAACGATCCGAGTGATCGCTAGCTATATCAAGAAGCAATCGCTTTGTGTCGACTGTCGCAATCACCTGAGTTATAAGCATAACAGAGATAAATTTGAAGAGAAAAATGAAAATAAATCTATAAAAATTCACAGAGTAATCAGAGGTATCAAATGTTCGGAATGATGCACAGTAAGTGTTGCGGAAGACATCAGCGCAGTCAGAGTACATAGCAGCATAGACGATGTTCTGTAAAAGGATAAGATAGTATGAGCTTATAAATAAAGATGAATCGCTTACCCCCGTACTGTTGAAGACGAGCTTGCAATGCTCCAAGCCAGGGACAAGATGTAACAAACGGAAGGTGCGCGTGTCCCACTAAAATAATATATTTTGACTATGCACACTGTAGAACAAGGAAGTAAAAACAAAAATTTCTGCATAAAAACTAATGTAGATAAATTCTGATGATTTCAAGATAGCGCTTATCAATAAATGTAATCTTGCGCAAATATGCTCACCACTTCTGTATTAATGATAATTTCGTTTCCTTGAGGGTGAAATACGCTACATCCGGTGGTGTTCAACTGGTCGAACATATGAACAACCTGTATTGAAACATAAAAGTTTTTTTGAAACGCTGAAGAAACAAGAGGAAAATAGTTTAACATAAACAAATAGCATACCGGTCCGCGAACATCGTAAAGAACTCCATCGTTAAGAACCATTGTATCACATGGGGAGAAAGAAGCGCGATTATGTGTATAGCCGGTTGGAACGGAGTCACGTCGAAGTTTTCTCAAAAGTCTCCCAGTTTCGGTATCGTAAAGCTGTAAGAAGAATCTAGAATTCCTGTCTATAGCTAACTATACAGTACTAGAGAAAAGGACCATGTGATTGATAGAGAAGAGGGGAGGGACGGACTTCCTAGCGAATTCCTAATAGGAGATTTTGGCAGCAA